AGTGAATTGTTTATTCATTAATTATTATAAACAGCGAGGAACTCTGAAAGATAGTTATTTTAATTCTACCCTACCACCGTTGAGGCAGCAAACCTAATATCAGGAAAAGTAAGCTTCAAAATCAATTATTAACCTGGGTCTTTGATGCTGTGTTCTAAGAAATGTGTCCTCATTAGTTGGGGTTGGGGGGGGGATTTCCTATTCACCATTCTAAATTCTAACCCTTTTTCCGAGGGGAAACACTTGGCACCTAACAGATTTCTCTCCGGATTCATTCTCTCTACCCACTTTGAGGCACGAGGACTCACGGAAATGGCGTTGTTTGTTGGGGACTGCCTGATAGAAACCTGACTTCACTTCCTGACGGCTTGGCCGTGTGTCAGGTTCTTCTCCTTGCCCTGAGCAATCCAACACAATACTTGGAGTTCTTTCTTAAAATGACCCACTCTAAGACATGGCTTCTAAGAATGCATCACGTCTAAAAGTAGAGACTCTTGGGGCGCCTGGGTGGCGCAGTCGGTTAAGCGTCCGACTTCAGCCAGGTCACGATCTCGCGGTCCGTGAGTTCGAGCCCCGCGTCGGGCTCTGGGCTGATGGCTCAGAGCCTGGAGCCTGTTTCCGATTCTGTGTCTCCCTCTCTCTCTGCTCCTCCCCCGTTCATGCTCTGTCTCTCTCTGTCCCAAAAATAAATAAACATTGAAAAAAAAAAAATTTAAAAGTAGAGACTCTTGAGGCATCTGGTGACAGAGCCAGAGGGGGGGAACATCGTGTACAAAGCCAGAGTCTCAGAGGGCCCTAGTGAAGAGAGCCCACCTCTGCCCCACTCCCAACACATGTGCAGATGCCATTGTGGCTCAGATCCAGAACCCAGTGGGAGTAGTTCTGAGATGTCCTGCTCAGTGTGACTTTAGGGGGTCGATGTGAGGTCATTGAGGTTGTAGAGGTGACTTAAATGTTCAGGTCCCTAGAAGCATAGAAGTTAGGGATGCTGTGGCCACCCAGAGCCTGCCCCAGTTTGAACATGCCATCGATGAAGGGCACCCACGAAGTTCTGTGGTGGACTGAAGTCCGTCCTTTCAACTGTCCCTTCTGGAGCCTGTCCAGTGGAGCTGACCCTTGCCACCAGACCCAGCTAGAATCTCTCTGGTCAGAATGGATGCATTAGGCATGGGCATCAGACCTGAACAGGTGGAACAGAACCCTCACCAGAGCCTCTTAGGAAAGGGATACCCCTTTCCCTGGTGGTGTAGGCTTGGAGCAAGCAGGCACTGGTTTAGAGGAAGGCAGCCGAAAAGTCAAAGTCGGTCTCTATCACTTCCTAGCTGTGTGTTCTTGAGCCAACTATTTAACCTCCTGGAATCCTGGTTTCCTCATCTATAGACTGAGAGTAATAGTACAACCTCCACAGAGCGAGTGTAAAGACGAAATTGAATCATGGGAGGCACAGGGCACCCAGCTCCTAGCCCCTAAGAGCCAGTTAGCAATGACACCCATTCGAAAAGAATGCCGTGAGGAGAGGAGCCTTTGGCGGGAGAAAGTAGCTTGTCCAAGGACACTGGTACAACTTTAAAATTTCTCATCCTAGAACCATCTTTCTGGCCCAATTGACATTCGTGCTTCTGCAGATTACGCTGCTCTTTAAATGAATAATATAGATGCAGACCATTCACGTCATGTCATTACTATGATTAGTTATCCCACTTAAAAAATACCTACCAGAATCTGTTGGTGTTGTTCTTCTACTTGATAGCCTCCAAAATGCACTACGCCAGGTTTTGCCTGTATGACCGTATTATTCAGAAGTTTTGCATAAACCTCTATAAAAGCAATGTAAATAAATACATCAGGAGATGAGACATAAAAGAAAATCTTTTTTTTTTTTTTTAAATTTTTTTTTTCAACGTTTATTTATTTTTGGGACAGAGAGAGACAGAGCATGAACAGGGGAGGGGCAGAGAGAGAGGGAGACACAGAATCGGAAACAGGCTCCAGGCTCCGAGCCATCAGCCCAGAGCCTGACACGGGGCTCGAACTCCTGGACCGCGAGATCGTGACCTGGCTGAAGTCGGACGCTTAACCGACTGCGCCACCCAGGCGCCCCAGAAAATCTTAAATAAAAGAAGATCCTGTTAAGGTGGGCTCTCTTTAGGATATTTTAAGCCTATGAAAGTTTCAGACAGAGGATACAGATGTGAACCAGATTAATGATCTATTCCAAATGAACTGTACTGCTTCTCCTTATTTTTACACATTGTTTGGGAGATGTTATCATCACAATACAAATTCACATGTACCGTTGACCACTTAGTGAAATAATCTGCTCTTCACGTTTTGTGCAAGTCTTCAAAATAAAATGCGAGCTTGTAAAAAGCACGCGCCTTATCTTTGCTGCTCCGTATAACACCAAGATTACCTAGCATGCGATGAATATCCAAACACCAAGTGTTAGTTTTCTAATGTGTGTTTAACTGTTATTATTTCATTTCCTCTGGATAGAATTACAATGTGATAGAATAATTGTAAAGCTCTGAATAATTATCGCTCTGGACAGAAAAGTCTCCAACTGCTATTACTATAATGTGAATGTCTTTTCTTTTCTTTTCTTTTCATTTCTTTTCTTTTCTTTTTTTCAGTTTTGAGAACAAGGTTAAAACAGCTGATCTCTTTTACAAAAGGGTACAGGCTCAGTCCCTTAAGTGTCTAACTGTTGATTTGGGCTCAGGTCATGATCTCACAGTTTGTGAGTTCCAGCCCCACGTTGGGTTCTGCGCTGACAGTGTGGAGCCTGCTTGGGATTCCCTCTCTCTGCTCCTCCCCCGCTTGCTCTCTAGCTCTTTCTCAAAATAAATAAAAATTAAAAAAAAAAAAGTGTCACTGTTTCAAAGAAGACATCTAGATGGCCAACAGACACATGAAAACATACTCAACGTCACTCATCATCAGGGAAATACAAATCAAAACCACACAGATACCACCTCACGCCGGTCAGAGTGGCTAAAATGAACAACTCAGGAAACAACAGATGCTGGCGAGGATGTGGAGAAACGGGAACCCTCTTGGACTGTTGGTGGGAATGCAACCTGGTGCAGCCACTCTGGAAAACCGTGTGGAGGTTCCTCAAAAAAAAATTAAAAGTAGAACTACCCTATGACCCAGCAATAGCACTGCTAGGAATTTATCCAAAGGATACAGGAGTGATGATGCATAGGGGCACATGTACCCCAATGTTTATAGCAGTACTTTCAACAATAGCCAAATTATGGAAAGAGCCTAAATGTCCATTAACTGATGAGTGGATAAAGAAGATGTGGTTTACGTATGCAATGGAATACTACTTGGCAATGAAAAAGAATGAAATCTGGCCATTTATAGCAACGTGGATGGAACTGGAGGGTATTATGCTAAGTGAAATAAGTCAGGCAGAGAAAGACAGATACCATATGTTTTCATTCCTATGTGGAACCTGAGAAACTTAACAGAAGACCACGGGGGAAGGGGAGGGGAAAAAAAGAATTACAGAGAGGGAGGGAGGCAAACCATAAGAGACTCTTAAATACAGAGAACAAACTGAGGGTTGATGGGGATGAAGGGGGGGGAGGGGAAATGGGTGATGGGCATTGAGGAGGGCACTTGTTGGGACGAGCACCGGGTGTTGTATGTAAGCGATGAATCACGGGAATCTACTCCCGAAAACAAGCGCACACTGTATGCTCTGTATGTTAGCCAACTTGACAATAAAATATATTAAAAAAAAAAAAAAAGCATCCAGGTCTACACAACTTTTCCCAGCTCTTCATTCAGGCAGGAACTGAGATGTGTAGGAGTCACTGGGAACCCACTACCCCATTGTCTCTGTGCCTTTAGCGCTGATGTCAGGCATTTGTTCGTAATCCTCACTCCAACCCTGCGCAGCAGGTATTATTTCCATTGTGCAGATGAAGGAGCTGAGGCTCAACAAGATTAAGCAACTTGCCCACGGCTGGTAGTTGAAAATCAAGCCCAGGTCTGATTCCAGCTGCTAGACTGCCTCCTTCAATACGAATGCACCATCCAATTTCTCACCAACGGTGACTTTTCACCTTTGGCTATATCCACACCCTGTGAGCCACAGATCCCCTACCCCGCTCCTTAGCCCAGTGTGATTCTTGTAAACATCTAGAGTGAGTGTGAAATGGTTGGTGTTCTTGCTCCTCACCAGGTGAGCTGAACACTGTCATCAGCTTTGGCCAAAGTGAAGGGCTGGAATGGGGTAAGGATGGTCTTTCTGGGGATAGATGATCTCTATCGGTTACCTGATCATTTTTTTAAGTATTAAAATGAACATTATTTGGTAATTTTTAAAAGATTTTATTTTTAAGTAATCTCTATACCCAAGGTGGGGCTCGAATTCACGACCCTGAGATCAAGATTCGCACGCTCCTCTGAGTGAGCCAGCCAGGTGCCCCATTTGAAAAACATTTTTTCAAGTTTATTTATTTATTTTTGAGAGAGAGAGAGAGAGAGAGAGAGCACACGCACATGAGCACGAGGGATGGGCAGGGAGAGAAGGGGAGAGAGAATCCCAGGCAGGCTCCACGCTCACCTTGGAGCCCAACATGGGGCTTGATCTCCCAACTGACCATGAGATCATGGCCTGAGCTAAAATCAAGAGTCAGAAGCCTCACCGACTGAGCCACCCAGGCACCCTTATTTGGTAAATTTTTTAGATGCTGGATATTTTGCTTTTGTTTTTAGAGCCACAAACAGGTGTAAAATAGGCATTGCTCTGCTAATACCCCCAGAAATAGTTGAGGATATTAATCTGCATTCAATAAGTTCTACGGTAATGAAAGAGCCACACCAAATTACTGCATTTCCAGCATTTGTGATGGGCCTTGCAAGATGAATTGGAAGCCAGCTAGTGTGATGGTAGAGAGCTGGACATTGGGCTACAACGACTGAACACCACCTCCCCACTCAGCTGTGCCGCCTTGGGGAATTCGTTTGACCTCTCTGATTGTCAGCTTTCCCAACAGTAAAATGAAAACAGAACGCTGATGTTGTGCAGAATGAGTGAGAATAACGTAGGCCGAATGATTAGTCTTCTACATAATCACTAGAGGATCTACCAGGCTTTCCACGTACATGGAATGGGAGAGATGTGCACGGAAAAAAGCAAGGGGGTATTAAGTGCATGTGGTCTTGAAGGAGCAGGAGTAATGGTGTGGCTGCAGCTGGGGGTGAGAGGTACAGAGCATGGTAGGCCTGGGGGGCGGGGCCGAGTAGGCAAGTTCACATCCACAGCAGAGGAGGCCAAATGCCAAGGGAAAGAATCGCAGCTCTATTCTGTATGCAAGGGAACCGCTGAGAGCATCTGAGCAGAACAGGGGCAGGGACAGCCGTGATTCCACAAAGGAAACTGACGGGGTGTGAAGGTCGGAAGGAGGAGAGCACTACAATATCCTAGTGACCTGCTGAGGCAGTGGGGACAGATAGGTAAGATATTTGAGGAAGTGGGAGCAGCAGAACTTGGTGACTCATGTACACCACAAGGACCTATCACGTGAGTGGATGGGCCTAAATAGAACCATTGTTCTTAATAATAAAACCTATTGTAAGCCTATAAGACAATATAGAGAGATCAGCACCAAAAATTTCTTTGTGCTTTCTGGACTTTGGATCCTCTGCGATCCAACTTACTTGATTAGATTCCAACTTACTTGATTCTAGAAGGTGATTAGGTACTGGAGTTCTTTTCTTAGGCTCCTCCACGAGGCTCCTCAAAAGGAGGGGAGATACGTTAGTAAATGGTTCTTTGGCACTGTTTAGTTCTCTGCTGGGGGTTTTCACCACTGCCATTTTATCATGAAAAATTGAGTCTCCTTTTTAGAGCCAAAGGTCACTTCCTGGGAAGAAAACAGTAGCAGTATGAGAAACCACGCACATTTTTTTTTTTTTTCTCAATCTTTAACAAACGTACCTCTGTGACTGTGCGGTTAACTGTGGCCCAGGCCCTCCCTGCCTCCCTGCCTTTGCCGGCCACTCCATTCCCACACAGGGCTGTCCCATTAATCTGGCATCACATATCACACCCCAATCTCCTGCCGTCGCTCAAAACCCTTCGGTGGCCCTTAATTTTCAAGAGCTTTTCCCAAACTGTAGTCCTGAGATGCTTTGGACTCCTGAAGGGAAAAATAAAGGCACTCACAATCAAAAAAATCAGAAAATGTTGAAGTAAATAGTTAAACAGGCCTCTTCTGAGATTTCTCCAAATCAGTTTCTTAGCTGCATGTGACCATGAAACCCTTTAACATTTGGAGACACTATTTATAAGACACTGGCATTTTTGAACCACCTTCCTGGGCCCCTCTCTGGCGTGAAAAGGAGACAGGGTAGCCAATAGGCCCCCTCCACCACCAGGGGGTGCATTCCTAGGGGCTCTGTCCCAAGACCTAGGATCCCAGTTCATGTTGACCCTTTGTCAGACTTGCTTTTCCTTAGCATTCATTTTAAGTTCCACCCTCTTCATAAAGGCCACACTGACCCCAACACCCTTCAACATACTTTACAACTACTGCCTCTACTACTCATGAGGTATGAATGATTTATTGCCATGTACAAGCCTAGGCATCTTGGTATCTTCTACAGCTAAGTCTCTAAACTGGGGGTCCTTGGACAAGCAAGCTTGGGGGGGGGGGGCTGCTCTGTGATGCCTCTGAGACTGAATGTAAAATCCGGTCTGGATCTTTATGTGCTTGCTTTTTTTTTTTTTTTTTTTTTTTTCTGGAGAAGACTCATAGCTTTAGATTCTCCGGAGTCCACAACAGCAAGCAAAATACAGTGACTATACTGAAGCAGGTGTTTACCAATCATTTTCTGAAAATTTCTCCTTTCCCCTTACCCCCAGCCCCAACATCTCTGAAGATTCCCTACTCCTCAGCACAGCCTCTACCTCACCTGCTCCGTTCCCTTTCATCCCTTCAACACCTGCCTCAAAGTTCACTTTCCAGCCGCCTCTCCTTGGGGCCCCTCAAATTCCTCGCCTGTACTTCAGGCAGGAACAATGCCTAAACCGTTTTCAGGAGAGCTCTCCTATTCCAGTTCACTCACTCCAGGGTGAACTTGTCTCTTTTCACACAGCCCCATTCTTGGTCTCCTGGCCCCATCCTCTACCCGCAGGCCCTCTCATCCTAGCCAGACGCCTGCTCCCCCTCAGCGCCCCTTCACTCCATCTCCAGCTAGGGGTAGGGGTCGACCCCAGCCCCATGCACTACCCACATCCCCACTTAACCCTTTAGGTCCGACCTCTCCTCTGACCACCTGCCCGCGGTTCAGGCAGCCTCAGCAGCTCAGCGGCGGCCAAGGGGGGACCCCTACCCCCAGGTCCCAGGCCGCTCACACAGGAGGTGGTTCCGGGGCGGGATTCGGCCGGCGCCGGCGCCAGCCACCGTCGCCATGACAACTAGGACGCGCTCCCAGGGTCGGCGGCCGGACGCGACCAAACTCTCCAGGGACGTGGGGGCGGGGCGGATACGGGTGGCAGGCGCTCGAGCTCCGGAGGCCGCTGGTGACTTCTGGGGACTCGAAGCAGTCTGTGCGGCCTGGGCAAGAACAGAGAGAACGACTTAGGAGGTGCGAGGGCAATGGATTTCCGAAGGGAAATGGGAAAGTCATAAAAGTATAAAAAAGTATAAACTGGAATCCTGCGAGAGCAGATGGCGGAGAGCGGCTGGCCTCCCAAGGGGCGGGGCCTCCTGAGCTCAGTGGGTGGAGCTTCCCGCCAGACATTCATTCACCCAATCACTTAATTCTTCAATATATTTTGTTTTCCGTTTTCTGTTATGGTAAATTTCAAACATATACGAAGGTAGGCAAATAGTATGATGAAGCTCAACACCCATCTGTAACAATGATCAAATCACGGCCAGTCTTTGTTTCCTCTATACCTTCCCCCTATTCCCTGTATTCTTTTGAAAATCTCAGGCATCATTTCATCCATAAATATTTCAGAATATACCTCCAAAAGATAAAAATTCTTAAAAAAAAAAAAGAGTACAACCACAATGCCAGTACCTTAATAAGTTACAGTGATTTCACATCTTCACTTACCCAATACTCAATAGTTCCACAAATGACTTACATGTCGTGTTTAGAGTTGCCAGTCTGAATCAGAATTCGAATAAAACCCACACGTTACAACAGACTGATATGTCTTTAGGTGTCTTTTAACCAACATGTTCTCCCTCCATTTCTTTTTGTTGTTGTTGCAACTTACTCACTGAAGAAACTGTTTGTGTTCTGATACTGGTATTTAGGAGTTATACACCATGAAGCTGGACCTGCCCCCCCTAGACCTCCCGCCCTGTCTACTCACCCTGCCCACCCATGGACATTATTCCATACACAGACAGCTTGGGCTTCTCTCTTCCCAGGAGTTGTCCTTGTCTCGTTTTTTCATTATATGACTTGACACTTGCGTGATATTATTTATGGCTTCATGTCGATAAGAAATTATAGCAGGAATCCAATAAGAATACCTGCCTTTCCCACACCCACATCACTTGTTGTGCTCTATGTGGTCCCCACCTCCCCCACGCACACTCACACTGGGAATATTTACTTTTCCCATCATCCTATTTTCCAATCCCTCCCCCACTGCCATCATCACTGGTTAAAAATCTGCCCATCTTTCAAGACTGGTGCTAGCGATGGTATATTTTCTACCCTCCTTGAAGCCCTCTGAACCAGAAGGACTGTTTCCTTCCTCCGGGTTCCCACACACTTTCTTCTATCATCTTTTTTGGCACTTATCTTTTTATATGTTGCACCTCTTACTACTTGTGTGTCTTAAACTGTGAAATTCTTATCAGGAGGGGACTGTGCCTTATCTTTGGATCTCCCACAGCCCTTGACACAGATCTTTGTTTATGGTGATTACCCAGTAACTGTTGGCCAAGTGGATGAAAAAAATCTATCTGCTTATACGGTAGGTTGTTTTAGTTCTTTCTGTTTTGTTGCCCCAACAAAGTTGTAGATTTTAGAACAAGTACTGTGTTTCCCACAGTCCCAGACCTTTCTACTCCAGCTTAAATCATCAAATGCTTGTTTCCATATACTTTTTAGTGGGTCTTGGGTAAGACCCATTAAAATCCTTAGTTTTTTTAATTTTTTATTTTATTTTATTTTTTAACGATTATTTATTTTTGAGACAGACAGAGCATGAACGGGGGAGGGACAGAGAGAGAGGGAGACACAGAATCCGAAACAGGCTCCAGGCTCTGAGCGGTCAGCACAGAGCCCGACGAGGGGCTCGAACTCACGGACCGTGAGATCATGACCTGAGCCAAAGTCGGATGCTTAACCGACCAAGCCACCCAGGTGCCCCTAGTTTTTTTAATTTTTAATTAAAAAAATCCTTATTTGTTTTTCCTTAGGTAAATTTGGCAATGTCCCTATTTCATATGTAAAGATAGACACAAACATAGATATATAGATATCGATATCGATATAAGATGTAGGTTCTCTGCACAGTTCACCAAAGTGCATATTATAGTGTAGTGGACATTTCTGGTTGTGTACTCCCACCTCCCAGCTTTGATCAGGCTTCTCCCCAGTCCCTGATCCCCAGATCCCCACTTCCAGCAGTAGATGCTGGTTAGTCTATGCTGGTCATGGAAACTTCTGTCCTCTTGCCCACCACTGATTTACTGTTGAGTATGTAACCCAATTCTGGCCACAGAGACATTAGGAAAAGGCTTCCGGGAAACTTCTGGAAAATACATAAACAGATAATGTTTCATAAATACAGTATCTTTCTCTTTCTGGACATTGTAGTATCCAGAAGTGATTCCTTGGAAATGCAGCAGCCATCAGAGGCCAGGAGGGGCCTGAGGGTGAAGGTGAAGCTGGTGAGAAGGATTAGCAGGGCAAGGAGACAGGAAGAAGATTCTGGACCTGCATGACATCATCTCACCTCTGCTTGTCTGGTGCCCGCATCCCATTATCTCCTTTCAACTGAAATTGTTCTGACATACAATGATTTCTAGGCACTCACCACTCAAAGCGTTCACTTTAGCACAGGAACCTGTTGGAAATGCAGAATTTCAGGTCACCCAGACCTACTGAATCAGAACCTAAATATAAATAACATCCCCCAGGGGCACCTGGGTGGCTCAGTCGGTTAAGCGTCTGACTTCAGCTCAGGTCGATCTCGCGGTCTGTGAGTTCGAGCCCCGCGTCGGGCTCTGGGCTGATGGCCCAGAGGCTGGAGCCTGCTTCCGATTCTGTGTCTCCCTCTCTCTCTGCCCCTCCCCCATTCATGCTCTGTCTCTCTCTGTCTCAAAAATAAATAAACGTTTAAAAAAAAATTTTAATAAATAACATCCCCCAGAGATTCACAGACACATTTTAAAGTTTGAGAATCACTAAACCAATGACCTACAATTACCGCTGTTTTCCACGATCAATTATTTAACTAATTCATTTATGTATTTCACATTTATTTCACTGAGAGTTTGCAGTGAGCAGAATACAAAGGTATCCCAATCTCTGCCAAACTAAGTCAATGAAATGAGTGTAATAACAGACACAGAAGCTATAAACAATAAGCTTCAGAAGCACAGGGAACAGCTCATTTCCTTCCTTAAAACTCATCTGTGGCTTCATATTGTACGGAAAAGAAAATGCAAAACCCTTAACATAACTTTCAAGGCTTGGCAGAACCTTACTTCTGGCCTTTTCTCTCCTCCTTCTCTCACCACACCCCACGGTGCATCCCCTGGTGTGCTGGGTTAGAGCTGGCTGAAAATTCTGACACTCCTCTCATGGAGAGGTGGGGTCCCTGGGCCCTGCCCATGAATCTAGGTAGGTCTGTGACTGCTTTAACCTCCCAGTCCAAGCCTGCCTGAATTTGGGACTGCAACATTTGTAGGAAATAATAAAATGGTGGTTGTTTCAAGCATGCAAGCTTTGGGATAGATATAACTGCAGCGATAAATAACCAGAAACTCGGCCAGTTCCTACTCAGCCTAAGGATCCCTTCTTTATTTTTTTTTAAAATTTTTTTTTCAACGTTTTTATTTATTTTTGGGACAGAGAGAGACAGAGCATGAACGGGGGAGGGGCAGAGAGAGAGGGAGACACAGAATCGGAAACAGGCTCCAGGCTCCGAGCCATCAGCCCAGAGCCTGATGCGGGGCTCGAACTCAAGGACCGCGAGATCGTGACCTGGCTGTAGTCGGACGCTTAACCGACTGCGCCACCCAGGCGCCCCAGGATCCCTTCTTTAGAGGGGCGTTTCCTGGCTTCCTTTTCTAAATCAGGCCCTATCCCAACCCCACCACCCTCTCTCCCAGCACTGGGTGCTCTCCCTTCAATGCACTTACTGCAGCGTGTGATTCTAGACCAATGGGCTTACCTCTCTGATGTCTGTCTTCCTGATGTCTACCTCTTCTGAAGTCAGCTGATGGCCTGACTTGTTCACTACTGTATACTTATCACCTTGCACTCTGCCTGGCACATGGGAGGACCTCCAAAATATTTGTAGGATCAGGTCATTAATGAGTCATGCCAACAGAGATCTAAATTTCTACATACGTATACATATATTGTATGTATATGTACATGCATATGTATATATTTTTGGAATATTTATATATTTGGAAATATATATATTTATATATATTTGGAATATGAATGATATACAGTT